GGTTTGTGTGTGTGTGTGTGTGTGTGTGTGTGTGTGTGTGTGTGTGTGTGTGTGTGTGTGTGTGTGAATAGAATACAGAACACGGGGACGGTTAAGTGATAATGGGCTGCACCATACCGATAAGAGAAGGTGTAAATATTGCTGTTAATGTTGACATTACAAGTAGGAGCAGAGGGGTGAATGGGTGTTGTTATGGCGCTTATGGGCTAATGGTACGAGGATGACGGTAGGATGGGTGGCTGGTCACGTAGGATGTCATATTATTCAATCATCAAAGGGAACAACAATTCGGGCTTCGTAGTGATCTGTACTATAGAGTGAGGAGCAGCCGCTGCGTAGTGGGCATGTCTTGGCTGTTTTTAGAGCATACTCACACTAGGAGTCTCCAAAATGCATCTGGCTGCAATTACGGCCCGTTGTGGATGAACCTGACCGTAATCCCGTCCCGAGCTTTGCTGAAAAAGTCCTCTTGTGAGTATGCTCTTAGTAGGTTTGCTGAACGAGCCCTAGGATCGGTGGGTGATCTGGTGTGCTTCTCGAGTTGAGGGTGGTCTTTTTCTTTCCTTTCCTTTTCTTTTCTTTTCTTTTCTTTTCTTTTCTTTTCTTTTTTTTCTTTTTTTTTTCGGGAAAGCATGAACAATTTTATTAAAGATCCATAGGAAAGAGCGGTCTTTTCCGCTCCCATGGTTCGTTTATTATTTATTCCGATACTGTATTTCTTTTCTTCATGTGGGGCTTTTCTCTCTTAGCGCAGGAGAATGCTCTTTGCCCTTTCTGGCATCAAGTACGTGAACTGCGGAAGGTCGATTAACGATTGAAAGCGCTGCTGTCTGCTCATGAGAAGGGGCAATTTGTCTTCTGACGAGCTGGTTCTTTCTTATTGTTACTTCCGATGTTCATTTCGTACAAAACTGCTATGGCTATATTTTGTCACATCACCCTCGGGTCCCTGACGTGTGTTTTGAAGCGAGGATGAGCTCTTTGTGGTTGGCTGGACATATCCGTATATGGGTGCTGAAGGAGACGTTTACGCATAAACCCTCACGAGCGCGGTTCTTATAGTACGCGACATTGACTGGGCAAAGCCAGGACAATGACTGGTCTTTGTGTCTCAGACAGAGAACGTCTGTTTTGTGTGTGCGCGTGTGTGTGTGTGTGTGTGTGTGTGTGTGTGTGTGTGTGTGTGTGTGTGTGAGAGAGAGAGAGAGAGAGAGAGAGAGAGAGA